TCCGGGGGACCACCATGGGACCTTATTTCGGAAAAAGTATGTATTGAAGTCGATGGCGAGAGAAAGATTGTCTTTTGATCCCGTTTGAATTGTGCCACGAATTACACATATGATGTTTGTCAATTTAAAAGATAATTTTGCAAGTCAAATTTTTTTTAAATGTGTCGTAAAACTGTGAAGTAACACATTTTTTGTGTGAAACCGCTCAATGAACTACATCTCCCATCTCGCACCACACACCAAGATGGCCGTCACGTTGGCACATTTCACTTCTTTCTTTCAGAATGAGGCGGAAATTATTAAAAGAGGTGAAAATCACTCCAAGTCTGGGCATGTTGAGAGCTGTACACACACACAAGGGGAGTTAGTCGGTTCCGTAAGAGCCAGCATGCGGGACCGGCTTTACAAGGTTTCGGTGAGTAACACGAGTGTAATGTGTAACGTTAATGTCAGCTAGCTAACATTAGCTAACAAGGTACACTCTCGTGTTTTTTTTTAGTTGAGAACGAGCAGAAGGTACTATTACTGGTATGATAACAACCTGGTACAAAGCACACAGGCATCTTGTTAAAGTAAGTAAGTAAATTTATTTTTAGCTATCTGGAGGGAATACATCAGTTATGACAGCACTTACGCGACTCTGGGATTTGTAGTCTTTCTAGTTGCGTATTTTTTATAGTCTTATATTTCAACAGTTTTACGACAAACTGTGACTTTTTTGACATGGAAATTATTTTTTAAGATTGACAAATATCATATGTGTAATTCGTGGCACAATTCAAACGGGATCGAAAGATAATCTTTCTCTCTCCATTGACTTCAATACATACTTTTTCAGAAATAAGGTCCCATGGGTCGGAAGTAGATGGGCGGGACTTCGCCTCTGTATTAGTCCTATTAGTCCCCTTGTAAGAAACTAAATCAATGCATCATTCTGCAGAGAAAATAAGTTCAACTAAAGGAAAAAACATTTAGTAGGCTAAAATCTTCCCATGGCAACACACACATAAGCCTGCCGCTCAGTAGCTATGAAATTATGCAGCCCAGCAGTCATGTACAAAGCCCATTTTCTCCTCATTGTAATCAGCGTGTGGAATAATGCGGCTCATTTGGGCTTTGACTTTGTCGGCAGTGTCATCGGGCTGTAATTATAATCTTTATTTCAGACTTGTAGAGAGATTTTAGGAAGTACTAGACTCAAAGGTTTCTCCAGTTTACTCTGTCACTAATCTACACGTGATCTTTTTTTCTCACACACTCTCAGCTGCAGTGCTTAACCACTCTGCTAAAAAACAAAAAACACCACCAGTTCTCTGTAACCCGAGTAGAAGCACATACCAACCCACTGCAGGCCAAAAAATGAGAATGAACCTGACTCAGGCAAATAACAACCGGTCAGCAAAAGGGATTAAATATGTTTGCTTTTGACACGCAGCAGACTAATGGCATGCAGCGGTCGCTTCACACATATCAGTGTGTGGCAAACAGTCTATTTTGGGCACAAGAGAGGTTGCATCATATTATAAGAAGGCCCATGCACATGTTTAACCCCTGCCAGCTATCCAAATATGGCACAGTAAGTGAACCTTCAAGACTCAGAAGTGGGCATCCAAGCTTTTTCTGCTTTGCATGAAGTTTGGTGAGAGGTTAATGTAGGTACACTTGAGAGTAGAACCACACCTGTGCTCTGGGAACAAACTGTAACTTAATAACCTGAACAGTGAGGCTTCATACCGGCTGTTTCTGCCACCTCCATGCTGGCTACTGGATCAGGGGCCGCTTCAGAGAGAGAAGAAACAAAGCAAACTTTCATAAGTATTTACAAGACAAACAAGGGTCACGTCTTGATGTCACGGTGTTATGAATGACCTATGACACCATATCAACACATGACTAACACTGACTTGTTGACTAGTTATTAGTTGTGTAACGTAAGTACATTTAGTCAAGTTCAATATTAAGAGACTTGTACTTTGCTTGAGTATTTCATTTTTTAGCTACTTCTACTCCACTACAACTCAGAGGTATATCATGTACTTTTACTCCACCACATTGTTTTAATATCTTTGAAGATTTGGATTAAGGATGTGAAATATAATCATAATTAGACTTTAGTTCCACCTTGAGTAAATTCACAAGCTACCCTGCAGTATACAAAGTCATTCAAACTAGCTGCACCTTTACCAGCTTTGATAACACTTTAATGATCAATCATTATAAAACATATCATATATATTATTCTGAAATGGGCCAATTTGCATAATGAGTACTGCTGGTACTTTAAGTATATTTAAATGCCAATACATGTATTTTATTTGAGTAACATGTTGAATGCAGTACTTTAACTTGTAACAGAGTATTCCTTCACTCTGGTACTTCTACAATATCTGAGTACTTATTCTCCCACCTCTGATAGTTTAGCTTTAACTGTACTGCAGGGAGGAAGGCTAACTAACTTAGCTTGGGTTAGCATGCTAATCTAAGCTGCTTCCAGCTGGCTGTCACCCACCGACTGGCGCTGGTGTCTCTGCGGGGCTTGCTTGAAAGAAGCTCGGCACAAACACCGCGGCGTTCACGTTGGGGACAAACGGCTTGGCATTAACGTTAAGGGCGGCAAATGAGGCCTGAAGGTCCGCAGCAACAGCCTGGGCCTCGGCATCCTCCTCCTCCAGCTCCCATGAATCCGGGGCTGTGTCTCTCGGGTCCATGGCTGCCTTTCCCCGGGTTGACAGGCTCGGGTACCCCGGTAAGGTGGATGGTGGATGTGGGGTCCGCTAACACGCGTTTAATAGCCGGTATGTTTTAGACTCTCGGCAGCAGGTTTGGAGAAGTTGCCATTGCTTTGTTGAGCCTGAGCTTTTTCACAAGCATATGGATCCCGTAGTCGACGAGAAGTGCTGCTGAACAGCCGCTGCAGGAGTCGGGAACACCGCGAGAGGCGCTGCTGCTACCGGGGATGCTGAACACATAACTATACACTACTGTACACATAACTATACACTACTGTACCACAGCTATACACTAATGTAACTTCACTACTGTACACATAACTATACACTAATGTACACATAACTATACACTAATGTAGAATAACTACACTACTGTACCTAATGTTACCAATAACTCTACACTACTGTAAGAATATATATACAGTCAATTAACTTTACCATAATGTTACCTCTAATTGTACCTTTATTTCTGAAGCTCAATACATACAGTGGTTAACTACTCAATTACAATTTTGAGGTTCTTATTTTATATGTCAAATAATTAAATTAAATAATGTATGTATTATTATAGGTTAAGATAAACTTTATTGATCCTTTGCTAAAATACAAATACTTGTAAAGAGTATTTTTAGAAAGCTGTATTACTACTTTTACTTAAATAAAAAATGAGAGTACAACATCCACCATTCAATCTAAGGAATTATACTATTAAAAGAAGTACATGACAAACTGTTGTCTTATTTATTTTAATATCTAAGAAACATGGGGAACAATACTACAAAACGTATAAATATAATAAATACATCAAAAGTACAACGGTACAATATGGTCAGTTTAAATATAATAAGTTAATATAAATATAATAAATAAATCTAACAAGAAAAAAACATCAAACTGACAAGAACAGGGACTGTGATAATTGTGTTTCTTCTCATCAGCGTTCACTCCTTGGCATCAGACACTCCTCCGGCACAGATGGCGAACGTGGCCTCGTTCTCAGGCATATCTGGACTAAAGGATACCAGGCAGAGATCAAAAGGAAGTGTGAGTTCATAATGTTTTCATTTTTAATATTAGTTAAACATCTCACACAGTTTATCTGACAGTTTATGTAACTGAAGGCACACAACTCTTATCAAATCAAATCATCCCACCACCAAAGGTTTGTTTAAAGATACATTGTTATATCTTCATATTTACAAGTAGGCCTATGTTAACAGTGGGCATGTACACAAACGGTATTAATAGTTGTTTTATACTCATATCATAAGATTTATTTGGGTGTAATATTACTTTAGCACACAAAATGTTGCGATGTTAAAGGGGACCTATTATGCAAAATGCACTTCTTGATGTCTTTTATACATAAAGATGTGTCCCCGGTGTTTCAGGGAACTCACGCAGCGTCAGAAAATAAAACCCTCTCTCTTTTCCTCCGTACCCAAATCTCTAAAAACGGGGAACAACGGAGCTGATCCAGATTTGCGTCCGATATGACGTAATATCTGAAATGTTGACCCACGGCCCTATCAGAAACGTTGCTATCAGAAACAATGCCCGACTGTTTTGGACGTAATATGGTCGGTGTTTACATTAGCATCGCTAACACTCAGAGCTAACCTGTACTGGAGAGCATGTGTGTGAAGAAGCAGGAAGTAAAAAGGAACTCACCTTGTGGTATAACCGGCAAGAGAGAAAGCCTTTGAGCTCCATACTGTTTCAGAGATAATCCTTGATAATCCATGATATGGCGTTTCATCACCGCAGTATTTAGTTTAGACAGTAGCTGCCGGGTCCCGCATGAGCTCAGACCCCTCCTTTTTT